GTGTGTGAGAGAATCTTGACGGCTGTCGTTTCTTGCACAACTTGTTCCGAGCAAACAATTATCCAGTTTGATGTCTCAGGTCCTGGAATGTCATTAGCTTCAGGGGCAAGATGACCAACATTGTCCTGATTGGCTGGGTGGGGTCAGAGGTCAGGGAATGGCTTGTCTTTCTCGAAGCGAGCGAGTCGCTCCTGTTTCATTGAAGGCATGAGGAAGACCGGCGTTCTCAGGTCAGGGATCTTATCTGGGGCAGACATGCGCTGGACTCTGTACCGCTACCTGTACTGTTCCTGCTGGTTTCCTTGTGTACGAGGCCTCCGTCCTTCTACGTGAAACACACTGTTTGCCTAGTGGTTTGTGGCTGTTACCCAACTGCTGATAGTGGGCCGGGCTGCATTTTCAGTAACTCTCACCGAGTCCCGTTTAGGGTGAGGCGTCTTTATAACTATGGGCTGGAAGAGTTCTGCAGGAGCACAGGTGCATTTTGTGGTTTTTTTTTTTGTCGTGTTTTCATCGTGTAGCTGCAGCTGAAAATGTATTCGTCTCGAAGTACACTATGTACTTTTTTTTGAACCTTTAAAATTTATTTCCCAGAATGCTTAGTCCCCTTTCTGTATTTTGTCCTGCCTGCTCTTTCCCCTTCTGCTGAAGCAGCCCAGTGCTGCGGCAGGATAACGAAGCTCAGATTAGACAAACTCTGCGGAGGCGGGATGTCGGGGAGAATTGTGGGAGTGTCAGATTTACCATTCCCCCGGCTTGGCCGGCCCTGTCTGTCTTGGCTCCGCCCTCTTGGGATTGAAGCACGCCATGCCTTGCTCCCGCACACGTTCAGACGGGTCGTTGCCATCACCGTGTCTCTGCTCCCGGTGCCGCCTGCGACGGATCGCGCGGTCAGCCTCTTGGAAAAGCCTCGTCTCTCTCACGGACGGATAGTGCCGCATCCCACGGCGGAGTGGTGGGGGGGGGGCGGCGCGACGGTGCACGACGAGGGGTCAGGAAGCCTCCTCATCTAGCCTCTGTGTGTTCATCCAAAAAGGAGACCCAAGGTGAGTGTGATACCTGGCCTCCAGCCTCCAGGTGACGTAACGGTTAGGGACACCGGTTTTGATCCTGAGAACAGATTTGCTCTGTCACCACTGAGCTTGGACTCTGAACCCAGGGACCCCAAACCTGCGTGGCTTGTTTTAGATCTATATTAATTGGCGTACTTGGGCGATGTTCCTGTTTGACGTTATTCTGTCAATCCGGGGAATCGCTGAGTTTGGGCATCACTTTGGCTAAAAGCATTTGCATGGCAAATAAAGCGAGTGTTAGTGATAGGTTCCGCCCGGGGGTCCGAAAACAGGTGTGGCGGGGGGGGGGCCGGTGGCTGATTACCTAAGACTTCAGCGTGAACGTGTCTCAATCTCCCCGTGAGCACAGGACAAGCTGGAACAGGACCCACACGCCAAAATGCTGCTTGTACTCCGGTGGGTTTTCAGGGAGCGCTACGGAGACAGCCATGTGTGTTTGTGGCGCCTCCAAATGGATAAAAAAAATAACTAGACACAAACAAAGTTTGCCCACAGTGACCGATAACAGCTCTGCTGACTCCGAAGCAGAAAGACGGCATGTATCGACGGCCAGCTCAGAGGCGGACGCTGCCCGTCAGCGTTTTGGCCGCGGCTGTCCTGTGAGCCTCGCAGGGCAGTCGCTGTCTTGAAGGGATTTCCTCATCGGGTATCAGCCGATCAGGAACTGTCGTATTTTAGAGAAACTCTGTGCTGAAAGGACATTTCAGGAGGAATTTCAAGAAGGCTGAATGCTGGCTGTTTTTATGGTAGCACTTTGCAGAAGATGGCAGGCTGGGATATCAGACTGGGATATCTCGGGGAAATTAGCTTGAAACTTGTGGGTGGAATGTGGGCAGGCGAGGCGTGATTGGGGTAGCGGTCCGGAACGTTCCATGCTTTCAGTTCTTTTGAGGGTGGAGAGACACTTGTTGGGGGGGGGGGCGGGGTTTGTGTTGGCATTCTTTA